TGCGTGGAATCAAAATACGTTTTCCGCGAACAAATCCAGTGAACACTTCACAATCTATTGTGTTATTATGCATTGCTTTGACTCCTATTTTCGTCCCATTCACTAATGCCTGTTTTGTATTTAAATTTCGAATTAACAAAATTATCGCATTAATTTTGAGCTCCCACTTATGTGGTAGCAAACCACTTACAATCAAAGTATTCAAAAATTCTAATGGATAGTTGCGCACCTCGCTGTTATCCTCGCAAATAATTGTGTCAAAACTGTGAGAAACCTTTTTTTCACCAGCGTTGCGATTCAATACATCGTTATTGATAAGTACACAATCTTTATTAGTTATAGCTAATACAATTGACTTCAACATTCTATCTGATAAAATGGTTTCATTAATATCTCCAAAAATGTCTTGTAGTATATTGGATTCAACAACTATCAAATTTGCTGGAATTTCAACTAAATCTTCACCAAACTGTCTGTCATTAGATTCACCATTGCCAATTCTGTTTAGAAATTGAACAAATTCTAACTCTTCGGGGAGTGCTCTCATATTTTCAGTTAGCTGACTTCAACATTCTATATGATAAAATGGTTTCATTAATATCTCCAAAAATGTCTTGTACTATATTGGACATTGGATTCACTATTGCCAATTCTCTTTACAAATTGAACCAATTCCAAAAATAAACTCACCAATAATAAAGGAAGCAAAAATTAACCTTCAAACTCAACAAAATAAAACTTATTTTCCTTAATTTTTACATTTTTTTAATTTAACAACATATCATTAGTTAATTCGGATAGTCTACTCAGCTCAAGAAGCAATTTAAAATCGCTTTTTGTAATTGTTACACAAAATCAGTATTGAAATCCTACTTTGACTTTAGACAGTACAACATGCGAACGTACATACGAAAAAATAACGTTGTACACTTCTGCATGTCTTCACCTTTCCAACGGTATAAATTTTATCCATATATGACAACGGCAACACAGTCAACTAGGGAACACAAACTTTTTTGTTAGCGTAATTATATATAGATGATAATTTTTTAGTCATATTCTTTGTGACTGCCCAACCTTGATCTGGACCAGGAGGAGGTCACTGGGTCGAGAACGACTTTCCCCTTCTGACATTAGAAGGTCCTCATCTGGCTTTCATTCGGAAGGCGGAATGTCTATTGTGCGGTTAGGGTCTATTGCAGCACAAAAGATCAACCATGGTCAATCAACCGCAGTACTCCGTTCCGTTAAGAGCTGGTACCATGTTTATTCCTATTCCTATATGTAAGTAACAATTAAATTTATAATTATAAACCATCTCTTTAAATTTTTATTACAGCTACCTGATTTTACTGTATTTAAATTTTAACTACTTTTTCATATAAACGTATTTCCATGTACTGAGTTTACAAATTGGTATTAATCCTTCATAAACTCATATATTACCTAAACTTTAACTCAATCTTACTTTATTTTATTATTATTTTTAACTATATTTTTTATGTACACGTATTTCTATATACAAAGTCAACAAACCCTTTATAATGCTACATAAAATCACAAATTAATTTATATTTTCTACTTATACTACTCTCTTAGCATTGTGGTCTTTGGTGAACAGTCTATTACACCACTGAGTCGTCTTTACCTCGGCCTGTCTCTATCACATCCACAAAACGGTGTCCTTGTAATGCTTTGCCATTTGTATCAGTTGTCTGCTGTCATTTAAATGGAAATTTAAAGTCTTAAAAATTCAATACAAATTCTACCATTGTCAATTACAATTTTCTTCTTACATTTATTTTCAAATAATACTTTGAATTCTTCTAATTACTAAAGTCATTCCTTATGGATGATACATAAATAATTAATATTTACCAAAAAGAAATCTACACTTGAACTTAGTATCGACGAATTATTGTAACATCAACAGCTGTTTTTTATTGGATGGTAAGTAAATTACACTCAAAATTAATGAATAAAACACAATCTTATTTAAATACATTTATACTTATTCTACGATAAAACAATAACTCTAATACTATAAATGATCTCATAAAATACCATTATGTTCTTCTTCTTCCTATTATCCCCATATTCATACTAAATATATCTACGTCGTAGAGTTTTGCCTTGTGTCTTCATTTTTCTTCTCTTATTTCTTATAATTTCTTACCACATAATCCTTTTGTCTTCACTCCACTAAAGGAGTTGAGATTTTTGCAACTTCGCGCCAATCGGGAAACTTTGCTACTAACACTGATGAAGTTCTGTTGTATCATATATATTTTTAAACTAATTTTTTTTTAATAAATAGTAAAAGGTAATACCAAGAAAAAAAACAGAGCTATGAGCCGGCAAAAAAGTCTTTTCATACGATGGCTCACGCTCACGAGCGAGCCCAACTACAGAGCTCACGCTTACGAGTAAGAGCCGCCATTAAGTTATAAATGGGCTCACGCTCGTGAGCAAGATTATGAGCTGCGGCTCATGAGATCTCATGCGCCCAATTTAAGATTTTATTATTTTTGTTTTGTGAAAACATGTCATTAAAAAGATTAAAAATATTAATAACCTTGAACTAACTAAAATATGGAAATAAACAAAGTTCCTAAAATAAACAATAAATATATTTTTATTGTTTATTTGTGGAAAATAATAATATTTTATAAATTTGTTTTCAAATTCAAATTATTGTTTCATTATATTGTTTTAATATAAAATTATATATTTTTACATATAACGTTTATAAAAATAAATAAAGCAACTAAACTAATAAATCGCTTTTTATTAAACAGTTGAGCTCGTGAGCTCTCGGCTCGTGAGACCTCATGAACAGCTCTTCAATATGAGCAACTTGAAGGCTCACGCTGGTGAGCAGCTCTTCAATATTAGCCAATTTTGGGCTCACGCTCATGAGCCAATTTTGGGCTCACGTAAGAATTGGCTCTTGCTCATGAGCCTGAGCTGCTCATGAGTGAGCAAATACGAACCCTAAAAAAAAATAAGAAGACTGATCATTTGTCAAAATATTGTCGACTATTGTAATTTTAAAATATGTTGTACTAAAATATAAAATATATATAAATAAAAAAATATATTTTTTATATAAATAAATGCATTTGAATGCATTTTTGTCCCTTACCTTATATCACAATGGAATTCAGAGGTCTGAAAATATTTTGCAATACAGAATTAATATTTCATCTATAGATGTGTAAAATATTTAAATTTATTTTTTTTTATGCATCATACATCGAATACATAGTCATAACTGTAGAAACACATTTTATTTGATGTTATTTTTTTTATTTACTTAAAGCTGAAAACTTTTTTTTTAAATAAAAAATGGATTGCGGATTCACTGCTTTAAGATTATTTATTTATATAAAAGTAGTATTATAGGAACACCAATTACGTCACATTAAAATAACTTACCTTGAGTGAGAAGTGTATAAAAACATCGAAAAGTCAGCAATAAAAATCAAAATTCAAGATATCAAAAAATTGAAATATTTAGACATATAAATAAAATAGTGACTCTCGTAACAGTTATAAGGTGAATTTATTTTTTAATAATAACTGTTACGGTCCCTGACAATAAAACAAAAACTCTTAAATATAATGAAGTGCGGTTCATAAATTATGACGGTCACATAATTATGCAACTATTATGAAGACATTGTGAACCGCCCATTAATTACTTTTAAATTTTTATATATGTTTTAATTATTCATATAAATCTTAATCAGCATAAATAAAACAAAAATTGATTATTTAATAAAAAAACAAATATCAATAATATTAATGTGGATTTAATTTATGCAAATTTAGTATTAGTCAATACCCCTTTCGCTTTGACAAGTCATGCAGTAACGCCAACCAATCCCAAATTAAACCACAAAACTTAACCGACGGTTCGGATATTTTCTTCTTGTCAAATATTCCATGATTTCTTGCGTCAAGCTAATCACTTCCAATTCGCAACTCGTGGTGAACTGTGGGAGTTGTGGGAAATATTACACATGTCACAATTATATATTCTAATTAATATCCGAAATATCCAAAAGGGAATTTCAATTGTTATTTTGGTTAATTAAATTTAGAAACTGCGCACCGGCGAGTACCACTCACCTAAAGCCAAATATTTCATCCGCAATGCAAGTACCGCGATGAAGTCAAATGGATTTAACGCTGATGCAATTTTCTGTGTAGTTCTCTAATTAAATATTTTGATAGAATTTGCAATTTGAATAAAATATATCGCGGTTTACTCTACATTTGCAATGTTTTCATATCAACGAAAAATTCTTACTAACAAACAACTCATTTTTAATGGTTTTTAAGCATATGTTAAAAATTTATCATTTATTTTTCAGTGAAATTACTACTTCAAATTATACAACAATTTCAAGATCAGTAAAGGATGAGGTAGGTAGGTTGGAGAGTGGCGGCCTTATTTTCAAAAAAGCTCACTTAACCTCAAATAATGGCCCATTGTGATACCACAGGAATAGCATTAGTATATACATAGATTGAACGATCAGAATACAACAGTAAAGGATTGGATTTTTTATTATTTCATCCGAAGAATATTTCGAGTCATTATTTTTTAATTCGTTTTAAATTCGTTATTAAATTAATTTTATGTAAAAAACACCCAAATCCACTAATTTCAAAGATTTAATTTTACAGAATTATAATTATTCAATAAATATTAAATAAATTAGGCATGAGAAATTTTGCACCACAATAGAACCCTTCAATCCAAAATTTTGGTGAAATGCGTCACAAAGAGTCACAAAGTGGTGACTCAATCTTTCAGTGACCTACTCACAGGAAAAACTATTTTGTGTGCAATAGTGATTTAGTCAGAATTATATTTGGTTGATTTACAATCATTATAAGACATTATAATCATTCTTAGTATAACAAAACGTGATTAATAATAATTAATAATATATTTACATATCAGTATGTAAGCCAAGTGTACTCACTTATTACATTTCTAGGTAATATGCATGATTTTTATTCACTTAACTTCCGATAACTCTAATTGAACTAAGATCAGTGAAACATTTATTTTAAAACATCAATTAAAACATTTGCTACAAACAAAAATAAATCATGTCAGACTCCACATCGTTATTGGTCATACAATACCGTATTCAGTACTAATCGTATGTAGTCATCTTCATTAACTTTACCATCTTTGTTTAGATCAGCGTATTCAAACATTTCAGCCAGTTCTTCATCATTTAAGTTCTCCCCCAGTTGTCTGCTAACAAGCTTCAAGTCATCTAGAGTGAGACTATTTTTTCCAACACCACAAAATAAACGAAATGACTTGCGCAAATCCATCTCGGTATCTTTTTCACCAATTTTCATTTCCATCAATTTAACAAAATCATTGAACGATATACGTTCAGTGTTGTCCTCGTTGATTTTAGCAATCATTGCCTTAATATCGTCTTTCCTTGGTTCGAATCCCAAAGCACGAACAGCGACTCTGAGATGATTATCGCGCAGAATACCAGTACAATTTGAATCAAGTAAATCAAATGTTTCCTTCATGTCAAGAAGTTGTCGATCGTCAAAACGAAGTTTGTGTCCAATTTTTTGAGGTGTGGAAACATCACCTTCACTATCCCTCGATATAACTGAATCATCGTCTTCATTGTTAGAACGTTCTTCTAAATACCTCTGTAATATCTTTTCAGGAGTGATGGACTTTATTGGGGGAGCTTTTTGACGTTTACGAGTATTGCTTACAATTGACATTTTTAATGAAAATCAAACAAATCTGCAATTAATCACTTGTAGTTGTTTAAAGAATTGAAAAACTGAAGTCTGATTATTGATAAACATAAAGTTCCTTGCACATTCTTTGACAATGATTAACAAATATATCCTGATTGTGAAACAGTTTTTTATATAAATTTTTTTTATAATATATTTTGGAATGTTGTTTTACTTATCCAAAAATATACAGGCTAATGTGATTCGAAAATGATTTTGAAGTGATACATCTAATATTATGTTTAAATTAGTTCCAATTGTTTTATTTCGGAAAAAATAAGCAAAAGTTCTGAAATAAAAATGTCATTTGATCACATTTTCTGCGAATGCGTTATCAAGATGAGTGATTAGACTAAACATACCTTTTGCAATAACTTTTCTCAACATTGTGACCATAATGAACTACACCACTAGAATCGTACAGAAATTTGAACTCTAACTCAATTTCTAGATGACACCACTAGAATCGCACAGAAATTTGTACTCGAACTCAATTTCTGCACGACTTTGGCGTAATATTTTCGATCTTCGCTGACGTTTTGCCTGTGATTCGCTTGATTGGACAGTTGCTTCTGAGACATTAGCATCGCGTGTTATGTTATTACAAATTTCATCTAATTCCTATAATCGTCTAATTGTCAATCGATGATTATTGATCACTAAATGTTTGATTCACATTGTTCATCTGTTGATGTTGTTGGCTATTATATGGTATATCCAATATTTTTATATTAACAAACAATTCAAAACAGTCATTATTTGTGGTTCAAATAGAGTCATCAAGTTAATTGAAGCTGAAATGCCAGTTGTTAATTAAATTTTAATTTAAAGTAGGTGAGTTTTATTGCGCCACCAAGAGAAGAATCACAAATCATTACAAAAGTGCTATTAGGTATACTTCACAAGATGATGTCTACCGTATGTAATAAGGCGGATTCATCGTTTGGTTGCTGAAATAATAGTCAATCATAATCCGGTTCATTGCTATCGAGCTTGCCAATAAAGACAAGTACAAAACCAACAAATAGAGAAAAACATATTTACAGAATTTCAATTATAAGGTAAAGCCTTGAGCATTAATAAGAAGAGAGATTATTAAATTGTGACAAGCCATTGAAGTTCAGCCTTTGGTATCAAAATACCGGTGTTGTCATAAGCTGAAGGTAGATATTATACATTACAAAAGATTTCTGGCCTGTGGTATCAGAATCTTGCTGTCATCATAAGTTAATGGTAGATATATATTACAAAATATTTCTAGCCTATGGTATCAGAATCCCGGTGGCGTTATAAACTACGGGAATAAAAAAATTTCAGCCTGTGGTATCAAAATACCATTGGTGTAATATTTTCCTAAAAATAATTTAGGCATCTTTGTTTTATATATATAATATATATACATATATATATACAATATATAAAGCAAATAATACTAACGAAATTTCTCATAATAAATTTTATTAATATAATTATTTGAAATATTTATTTTTTTCTATAGTATATATATAAAGAATGATAGAAATAAATAATTCATTCAATATTTAAACAGTTCAATTTTTAATATAAATATTATATAAAATAAATATTATAAATGTAATCATAAATATTATAAAATTTATTTTATACATGTACGTGATCTATTGATGACAAAGATATAAGTATTTGTATTTGCAGATAGTTTTTAAAATTGAAGTCCCGATTCGACAATCTTTATTCCCGTTCTTTAATGACACTCAACTTTTCTAAGGTAGTGGAGTAATATTTAATTCTATCAAAGCTCGTTTACATTACTAATGGCAATGAACAATATTTATTATATATAATATATATTTATTTGAGTTATTTTTAAAAAACTATTTTATACACCATCGATTTCTCTTATTATATCTCAAAGAAGTCCAATTCTCTGTCTATTCCATTTGACAATCGTGGTCATTAATGCACAGAATACAGCGTGTGCCTATAACCTCATCTTTTACCAGTCATAACAGTCTATTTTAATTTTCTTATATTCTCTGATTTGTATGAATTTAGCCGTCAAAATATAACTTAAAAAACAATTTTTTATTTTTTTTATAAGAAAAATAAGAAAAATTTTTAACTTGACTTTTCATCTTTATTCCACTTGCTCGGATTTATATTCAGTGCTTTCTTTGAAATAATTGAACCTTATGTGCTATTTTCTTATATTATCAGTTTAGATGCAATATTATCATGAAATTTTGATAGTATATATATGATCTTCCCGATCAATTTCTCACCAAATCTAATTGCTAGTAGATGATCACAATAAACATACCTATTTTTCTTAATATAAAATTGTAGGTCAATTATATATTTATTTAGTGTTCGCATTTCATTTCATATACATAAAAAAAATTTTACTAAAATATCTTATCCAAAGCCACACCGATGATGGAACCGGAACCTTTTTGTGGACTAGGAAATAGCACGCTCCTTTCTCTCATAAAAATAAAGGAGAACCAGAATAAAAAGGACTACTGCGATAATATACCAGGAGTAAAACAATCCAAATCACTTATTGGTACCTATAACCTATAACCTATCAAAAGAAAAACTTAGAATCATCACAGGTATCCTAACAGGGCACTGTAGACTCAAACACCACCTTACAAAACTGGATATACTTACGGATGTAAACTGTAGATTCTGTGAAGAGAATGAGGAGTCGGCCACACATGTGCTGTTAGAATGCCCTGCGCTAATGCACATACGATAAAACTCTGTAAAGTAGATTATATACTACTTTTTATTGATGCAACAGGGCTTAAAGACCTACTGTAAGCCCAGAAAGGGGCACAATAGACCCGACGGTCGCAATGCTACATCCCCTAACAATAATAATTATCTTATTCAAAAGAAAAAAATTTTACTTTCGATTTCTTACTTTATATGTCAACTATTCATCACAGTCGATTTCGAAAAGGCTCTTCCGAAAAGACTCTACGTAAAAAGACTTCATCTTAATATGCTCCTCACGCTTTTATGTCGTGCGTTGAAGTAGCTTTCCCACTGCATTATAGCAACTGAATAAACTTCATTTACCCTTTAAATGGTATTAAAAATCAATTACATTTGAATAAACTTCCGAACCTTCAAATATAAAGCAAAGTCTTTTGTAAATAACCGTGTTCGTAATTTTGTTGAAAATATTATAAAGAAAAATGTCCAATTTAATTTAAAAATACCTGTGCCATTTCCTAATACGGAATGCACTTGCCACAATTTATGAGTTGATTTGGCACGATTTGCTCTGCGAAGTCTATTAGCTCGTATTCAAGCGTTAAAAATTTATTATAGATTTTTGTATTTTCCCATTATTTCCTGACAACCTTTTGTACGAAACTCACCATACCTACGGGGAACGGAGCCATTAGTTTAAAATTTTTCCAGTCCACTTTGTCGACTAATGCGATTTAATGGAAAACTGGTGCAAGTAAAAGTAAAGGAAAGAACATTTTAAATTGTAGCATCAGGAAATAAATTTCAGAGTTAGAAGAGTTATTCAGACTCTTAAGAAAGTTAAATAAATGCAATTACACGTGCACTAAAAAGCTGCTGTTCAGTAAAGTTATTATATCTATCATCTATAATCTTCGGAAACAAATTAATGTATTAAGATTTCCAATTCTCCATATATTTAATTACATTGAAATTGATTCTTCAAACTATCAGCTGTTATTGTAAGTTAAATTGTGCCTATAATTATTTAGATGAACCCAACATAAAGTATATTAACTCCAATAATTTTAATATTGTTGAAGACGAAAAGTTTTTCGACTAGAATAACTAGGATTGCATTGGAACAATTATTTATAAATCATATTATTTAAAGTTACGGATAAGATGGTACATATAATATAATTCACCTCGGATCTATATAATACTCCATCGCAAGCCTAATTAATAGAAACTTATTGACCAGTAAACAGAAGGTTAATTCACCCTGTCTTGCAAAGACATTGCAAGGTGCACGAAATGCAAGAATGCTAAAAATTGCAAGGGTGCGAGAAAACCTCTGTTGCCGAATTGCAATATTAAAATAAAACAGCTGTTGTTTTTCTTTTTTGTTTCGTTGCAAGCATACATACATACAAGATTGCAAGCAATTGCAAGAAATTTCGTGCACGTATTTTCTTGTTGTTCATTAAAGGCTCGAGCAATCTGTATACTTCGTGCACCTTGCAATGACTTTGCAAGACAGGGTAAATACCTTTAAAGTCTTTATACACATCAACCCAACACTACATACATATTATATCTATCAAATTACAGTCAAATTGTTACAGCTATGTGTCCGCAAGTCGTTTTCATTAAATTTATTGCTTGAAGACGATTAAGTACTGTATAATAATCTATCGAAGATATTGAAATCATGTTTTATTTTAAACCTAGTACGAATATTCTAAAATTGTTTTCTTTATTTTTACGTTCGAAACCAGAAATCTGGTAACGCTATGAAATGAAATTATAAAGTTCTAACTAAACTGTATGTCAATAATGCTCTTTCTGGATATGTAAACTATTCTTATTGTTATTTTTGAAAAAAGAGTTTCAAGTAATAAATATATGGCATCTTTAAAAAACCACATTATAAACCGTTCCTAATGCCAATAATGGCATAAGAACATAATGGACTTCACTTAGAATTTATGTCTGTATATATATTATAATACAATATTACCATATTGCTTTACAAATCGCCAAGAGTTTATGAATCGGAAAATATAAACCGTGACTTTGATTGTATTTGCACGCTTTGTATGAACTTGGGGTTCAATTAAGTTGACTGAACCTCTCGTTAACTGTAAAGCGATTTTCGCTCTGTCATTTCTTGTCTCTTTTGTATTTACTTTGCATAACATTGGAGGTTCACTTTTTTTATTGAACCGCTTGCACGCATTAATTTAAGAGTTATGATTATTTTACGTACATATTTTGCGCGACTTGTTTTCTCTTTTATTTTTATATTTGTATGTATGTTTTGTGTTTATTCAATACTGAACATAGTCCCAATGTGAATGTTATTTCATTTGCATGATTTGTAGGCAGCGCGGTGCAGTTTTTTTCTGAACCTTAGTATATTTTAGGAGGAATGTGTTTACTCTTTTATTAATTATAAGTAATGTTGGGTGTAACTAACATATGTATGTGTGATTTTGTTTGTATTGTACGTTTTGTGTTTATGTTAATCTGTTTGGAAAAGCTATTATAAAAAATGTTAAGTAGCAAAATAGCGAGATTATTTACCTAATAAAAAAAGATCCAAAAAGGAAGCTTTGTTAAGGGGTTCAGTGAACACTCTGAACCATTCGACGCCTCGCCTCTGCATACAGTGCATTTTGTGGATGCAATGCATTTTCTATATGAATTTTTGAGTTTTCACTGCTCCATATGCGGTAATCAATGGTCTGAAAATCGCATCACTACAAAAAATCCGATACAAAAAATCCTTATCATTTTCATAAGTATTCACAATCTTAACAGGATTAATTGTTGTTAAACATTTCATGTTGTAAAATTGCATATCCTAAACTAAGTATGTGACGCTTTGGATAGTAGTCCTATAGTGCTGCCAAATCAGAATTAAAGATACCATAGTGGAAATTCATACCAGAAATATTTGTGATCTGAATACCATTTATGGGTAGAATTGGAAAAATCTATGTTATATTCTTCCAGTAACCATTAAAAAATAAATTTTTTATCGAAAGTGAATAAGTGTGTGGCCTTTATACATTAATAAAATCAAGTATATGCTTTAATGTGAAATTTTCATTATAAGAATATTTCTTAATGAATATAAAACTTTAAATCAGTAAAAAATATGATTATATATGGCTAGATATATATTTTGAAAGTGGTTTTGAATATATTTAAAATAATGTATGTTAAATGCATTGCAATTTCTTAGATGTCAGTTTCGATTTGGGTTATAATCTCAAAAGTATTGCTTCATGTACTTCCACACTATAAAGTTATTCATATTTCCAGCTGATGTAAAATAAGCTATACGGAAAAGAATTAATTGACACCACAGGGCAAAATACATATGCGAATGATTCATTTCTCATATCTGATATTTTTCGGTTGGAAAAGCATTTTCACGATGCCATGCAAAATGCAGTCTCATAACATATTATTTGTTCGCGCTTACTCCTGTGTGCTCATCATTGCGTTCTCATACATGCATTCTCATGCACAAAATTATATATGAATGTCTTGAAAGTAATATACCAACTTTGCAAAGCTATGCAATACTGACATGTACAGAAGAGATACTTTCGGTACAGTATGTTTAGAAAGTTGTTAAAGAAAGGAGTCGCATGTGCAATAAAACAATATTAAGCGAGAAAATTATTCAAATGCATTTCAAAAATTTCTCAAAAATAACTTCGCGATATTAAACCTGCAAGGAATGATGTAAAACTTTTTTTATTATACGAGTATTTGAAATCTTATTTTTGAGTTGTATTATTTTGCTTAAACACTCAAAATAAATACGGTTTTGATTTCAATAAATAAGTTTTTAAGTTGAAAAATTGAAAAAAATTATTTATTTAGTTGAATAGTAGTTTAGGCTAATTGCTGATGTCTCACAAGTCATCATACATGCACGTACATGTATGCATCATATACTCTTGCAGAAGTGTTTTAAAAAAAAATATTTAAGCTCCCTTCATACGCACCGGACTATATCCTTCTCAGTTATCGCAAATAAAAAGGACAGTATCGTATTGTACTGCAAATATCCAAAACGGATTTTGTTGTTTGTTAACTACTCCTTAAGTAATAGACCTTTTTCAAAAAATTTTTTGTTATGTTGGTACACCCATCCTTGACATATGGTACAAATTTGAGCGCCATCTGGCAATTAGTTTGTTTACAGCAGCTGTTAATGTAAGACCACCTCAAGTGCATTTAGTGATTTTTACTATGGAAAATTCTTGTTGTACGCGATTTTTTCACCAAACATGGCACCACTGTCATTGCTCAGGCAACATATTCGCCAGATCTGGCGTCGTGCGACTTTTTCCTGTTCCCGAATCTCAAATTGCCCCTTCGTGGTAAGCGTTTTGAGTCGATTGAATCGGTAAAAGAGAATTCGCTGAAGGAACTAAAAGCCATACCTTCACGGGCCTACGAAAAGTGTATGGAAGATTAGGTTAAGCGTTGGCATATGTGTATCGCTTCAAAAGGAGCATATTTTGAAGGAGATAAAATAAATTTGAAATAAAATTTAAATTTGTGTCGTTCTTTTATTCAAAGCTTGCAGAAACACAGGCTTAAATTCATTTTTCGGTAAATTTTGTACTTCAAAATCAAGTTCCAACAGTATTATAAACAAATCGCTATAACATAACTTTCGAGACTGCAATTTTATAGTTGCTGTATAAAATGGTTTTAAAGTAGAAACACGTTCCGTCATAAGTCTACAGTTCTTTTCGCTTAAAAAAGACCATCATTTGAAATAATAAACGGTTTTAATAAAAGTAGTCCTTGCATTATTTCATATATGGAATTCCATCTGGTTACACAATCAATAAGTGCTACTTCATGACCTCCATCCATCAGCATATTGTGGTAATACTTAGTCGTTAATTTTTGTGATAATATGCGGTAGGTGTCAATATTTTCTTTAATACTGTAGATTTTTAAAGCATCGTTCACACAAAGTTGTATGGTATGAACCCCACATTTTATAAATTGAACTCTAAATGATATAAGATCTGACAGTATACGTTCTAAATGGCCCAGATATTGTCACTTTCTGCTGCTAACTCCTCTCTTAATTCTTGATTTAAATCCTCTACAGTTTTGATCATGTTAGCAGCATTATCAATAGTAATTGTTAAAATTTGAGCTAAATTTATTCCATAATCTTGAAGAACTTCCATTAAAATGGACTTCATGTATTCGCTTGTATGTGAGGTCTTTATTTCTTTTAGTCCAAGCATTTTAATTGCAATTTCTTTATCTTTAACATACTGCACATTTATTGCAACTACACTTAAAATGTTTATTGAAACCGCATCAATTTTTATTGAAATGAGCTTTCATTTTAAGTCTTCAATAATTTGGTCCTTATTCTTTGTGGAATATTTCACAATTCGCTCGTTAACATTGTATTCATTTATTTTTATTCCAATAACATTTAGTAGTGGTTCAGTCAGAACTTTAAATGCTGTATCCGCAAGCAAGCAGAAAGGCCTCATATTTTCAGTAAAGAGGTGCACAATAGCTACTTCAATTTTCCGTTTATTTACATTGATAGAAATTTTTTCCGTTTATTTACATTGATAGAAAATATTTATATTTCATCACAACTATTTCTTTGTAATTAAGGTGACAATATAAACAGTGACTTACTTAAAACTAAAAGAATTACAGCTGATCATAACTCACAATGTTAATCAACTAGCCTTCCATTACAAAATCATACTAAAAATTCTTGTATAAAACAATTTTAAAACTTTTATTAAAATATATGTTATGCAAACAAAATTAAATTAAATCAGACTCCACATCATTATTGGTCATACAGAACCGTATTCAGTACTAATCGTATGTAGTCATCTTCATTAACTTTACCATCTTTGTTTAGATCAGCGTATTCAAACATTTCAGCCAGTTCTTCATCATTTAAATTCTCCCCCAGTTGTCTGCTAACAAGCTTCAAGTCATCTAGAGTGAGACTATTTTTTCCAACACCACAAAATAAACGAAATGACTTGCGCAAATCCATCTCGGTATCTTTTTCACCAATTTTCAATTCCATCAGCTTAACAAAATCATTGAATGATATACGTTCAGTGTTGTCCTCGTTGATTTTAGCAATCATTGCCTTAATATCGTCTTTTCTTGGTTCAAATCCCAAAGCACGAACAGCGACTCTGAGATGATTATCACGCAGAATACCAGTACAATTTGAATCAAGTAAATCAAATGTTTCCTTCATGTCAAGAAGTTGTCGATCATCAAAACGAAGTTTGTGTCCAATCTTTTTGGCTTTGCAAGTCTCAAAATCACTATCCATCGATGTACCTGATTCATCGTCTTCGTAGTTAGAACGTTCTTCTAAATACCTCTGTAATATCTTTTCAGGAGTGATGGACTTTATTGGGGGAGCTTTTTGACGTTTACGAGTATTGCTTGCAGTTGACATTTTTAATCAAAATCAATCAAAACTAAATTAATCGTTTAGAATAGTTTTAAAAACTGAAAAACTGATGTCTGATTATGATTAACAAATATAGATTATGAAACCTATCTGGTATACAAATTTTTATTTTAACATACTAACATACAATTACGTATACCTATTTATTTTTGTTGACATTAAATAAATTAATTGGTTACTTAGATGAAAAGTACATAATTCAGAACAAGTTATTAAATAATGAAATCATTTACCTTATCACATAAACAAATGAAGCGATTACGTTAATTTAATTTAAAAGACAACCGTTTTTATACAATAATTGCTTTAATTCATGAACGAGTCACTGAATTTAAATAAGATTTATTTATTTTTTTTTTTTGTGATGTAGAGGTGGAATGCTTTACGCACCGTCAGACCAACCGTCGTCGAAATGGTGGGCCTGTCTTCCTAACATTAACAATATTAATAATATAATGTTATACTAATAGTATACGGACGAAAACACCCCCTCTTCGGCGAGCGGTATTTCTCCACGGAACCGCCTTCAAATTACTTGGAAGACGATCTCTTTTATGTTGGCATTTCAAGCCATGCTCTTGCGATTTTTGTTCTGCTTCCAGACCTATACTCTTTTACCGCATTTTCTTGGTGTCTGCACTATTTATTTGCCTAGTTTCGGGTTCTTCTTTCTAAATTTTATAGGATAACATCAATAAATTATCAACAACAACAGTGAATTTTTTTTATTATTGCATTACTGAAGACTTACTAAAGTTCTAAATTACTGAGGATATATGATAGAATTACAAACAAATAATAAAAAAATTTATAAAAATTTAACAGGACATTTCAAGTTAGTGATCACATAGACACTTTGAATAGCTTTTTAATTAATTAATTTCTTTAACGACAAAGTAATAAAATGTTTATAAGAAAAAATAGCTTTCAATATTTTTAACTTCGGCAGCAGAGCTTAATGATCATAACAATTAAAATGTTAACTCTTTATTGTCTTTATGATTTACCAACTTCCAAAATTTTCAACTACGAAAAAACAAAATCATTTAGAACCATGAAAATATCTAATTAAGAATTTTAATCAAAATCCGTGAAGACACAGAATCAAAACATTTTAGCCTGTGACTAAAATAGTTTTACAGAAAAGAAATTTTATTTCCAAGTCGATTAAAATTACAAAAGTTTATATTGAAGATTGAAATTTTTTAAGAAAAAACAGATATTACATAGTATATAATAAGGCAACGGATGATGACAAAGACACTGCAGAGTCAGCTCATTTAGCGGGCAAGTAATATCCGCTCCACTTAACAACTATCCATGTTAAACATCAAAAAGAACCTAAAAAGTTGAATTTTACTTTCTTAAATTGCAACTATTGCTCCTTTTTCTCAACCGTTTTATCTGCCACAGACTCAAACTGAAGTCCATTTGAATGTAAATTGTCTACACTCAACCGCCTACGAATTACATTTCAACCGCAATTTCACTTTAAGCAGCTGCAATGATTTGGTTCCGCGTCCTTGTTGGCAACTCTGTGCCAACAAGAAAATCAGCATCGAGGCAGTTATTATGGAAGCAATTCCATCCGGATTGCAACGCAACGCAGCATTATTCGAACTACTGTGCCGAAGTTGAATCATTTTGTTTATCTCTTCTTCTTACTCTTTTTCCTTAAAATTTTTTAAGTATTTAAATATTATTTAAATAGAGCTTCTTTTAAATTATTTGTATTAAACTTATTTTTAGCCTTTTTGTTAACGGAATTATTGATGACCGGATTTCCACAGGTTCTCAGATTATTTCATATAATATTAAAGTATTCATAAATAATTTATTGATTAATTACCTCCTCGTAACAATTGGCTCTTCTATTTACAAACAAAAATTGGAAATTAGGTAACTAATTATTAGTTATTTATTAGTTAGCATTATGAGGATAAAATCTCAATTACAACTTCATCTTAATAGCTGTCGATTAATTATAGTACTACATTGCAAAACAAAATCTTTACACACTATCTGTCCGAGATTCTATTCTATCCGAAAACTATTCAAAACAAAAAAAAGCTCCTCCTTTCACAATGCCTGATTATTTGCAAAGATAGTGATATTCAAAGGACAAACTGTACTTGTGTTAGGTACTTCTTCGGTTGTGCTCCCGTGTCAATCTCCATTTTTAATCCATATGAGTAGATGGAAACTCATAAATTTCAACTTCGAGCTTTCGCTAGTAAAGTATAGAGTAGGAATTCTTATGCTAAAATTAAGTATTAATGTCATGCAATCTGCAGCTAATTATAATTATTATTCTATAAAGTTTATCCAAAAAAGTATGGTGTATGAAGTTTGTCACACCGTATACTCATGTACTCTAAGGTCACTATTCCACCATTACCAGAAGCTATCTGAAACTACCTTTAAGCTTTGCGGCGACAGCAAAGTAGATATTTAAGTTATCACATGCTTTTTTTTCTTTCATCGGTTTATTTATTGTATCTTACCAAACAGAAATTGATCATTTTGAAAATCTTAAAAAACTATAATGTTTGCTATTGAGCTAAGTATTCATATTTATCAAGGATTTTCTTTTAAGGCGATTTGGTGCAGTTGCAGAAGATAAGTGTCGAACATGAGGATTTGAATGCGATTTGAGTCTCACTCAAAATTTGATATGTATTGAAGAATAACTTCTTCAACAGTTGGTAAATTTAGATCTTTGTGTAGATTTTTGTTTTTGACATACCACGGGGCACACGTAGCTTGTCGGAGAATTTTTTTTGTACTCTTTGGATTTTTTCTATATTTGTGTTATTCTATACCATAAGTCCAAATTGGCTTTAATATTGATTTGTAAATTAACAATTTGTTATCGAGACTGAGTTTAGAGTTGCCATTTAGAAGCCAGTAAGTAAAACTCTAAAAACATAAGAGTTATGTTTTATGCGAAAGATTTTATATAAAGTATCAGTACATCGGATTATCGGCCAATAACCAAACCTCATAAGAGAGATAAATTTAGACATACACATTTGTGGCAGTTTCAGGTTGAATCCGGTAACAACATATAACATAATTTTGCAGTTGTACCAATAGTCGTGTAAATGAAAACAGCTTCTAGGAAGTGTTTCAGGTTTACTATTAAATTAATTTTTATTGATATTTTCGGTATATGTCTGATATTCTTAATATTATAATTAATAGATATATTTTTCGTTATAGTTCTCATTCGAACTCAATTAACATTATTTGTTCCAAGCAAGTATTTTACCATAACTAACTGTTTCTATATATTTCAACCAACTTCATATTTTTGCAACATTAGTATATTTTTTCTAATTTATTAATATCTTTCTTCTTATATTTGTGCTAAGCTGTTTTGTCTAGACCGGACACAAAATTGCTTCCTGCACGCAATCGTTTCAAGCTAAATGTGCTAATTCTTCTCACAGACAACTTGACTCATACTATCACGCAACGTACGAAGGAAACAGATTGTTTTATTTCAAGAAAATTTGGAAATTAAATGGAAACATATGTTGTCTTATCACGCAAACTTCAATTGTGACTAAATGACTTAATGGATATCTAATACATAATATTGTTCTTTTACAAAAACGTTATGAAATTACCTAAATTTAATAAATAAACAAGTTTAAATTTATAAAATAAAATATTTTTCGAAAATTATTTAAACAACATAAATTTCTCTTATTAGTTTTTCAATATAAATTACCTGAAATATCTCGAGTACTAAACTGTAAGGGCCTCGTAAAATATATCGTAGCTAGACTATTTTAATTAGTGTAATTTTTTTTTTTTTTTTTGATATAAGTTTAATAAGATCAATCCCACATGGTAGATATGCCATAAGTTAATATAAAGAAAAAATTGTTATTCCAATTTGTCTAGAAACTTTAAATTCTCTAAGAATGTACCTTCTGCTCAAAAAGTTTTTTTAAATAAAACATACAAATTTAAATTTTATTCCAAATTTATTTTATCTCCTTCAAAATACGCTCCTTCTGAACCGATACACATATGCCAACGCTTAACCTAATCTTCCATACACTTTTCGTAGGCCCGTGCAGGCTTTTAGTTCCTTCAGCGAATTCTCTTTTACCGATTCAATCGACTCAAAACTCTTACCACGAAGGGGCAATTTGAGTTTCGGGAACAGGAAAAAGTCGCACGACGCCAGATCTGGCGAATATGGTGCCTGAGCGATGACAGTGATGCCATGTTTGATTAAAAAATCGCGTACAACAAGAATTTTTCATGGTATAAATCGCTAAATGCACTCGAGGTAGTCTCACATTAACAACTGCTGTAAACAAACTAATTAACAGATGGCGCTCAAATTTGTACCATATGTCAAGGATGGGTGTACCAACATAACAAAAATTAGGTCTAATAAAATCCTACGGTTTTAAATTCTTGACCTAATTTGATTTGATAAAAGTGGAATGAAGATACCGAACTCGTGTTCACGAACAGAGGGTTTTTGTCGGCTACTTTTTTGCTGTTAAAAAAATTGCTAGCGTAATTAGGATTACATTAAATCTCAAACCAAAAGCGTCAATATAGATAATCTGTTAGATTGTAAGAATGTATTGAAAGTCTGACTGACTGTTCTTGCGACAATAAAAAAGAAGTGCTATATAAGCTCCTTATTGATCTTTTGGACTTATTTAAATAAGTATCTTATATCATAATCTTTGTGTATAAAATAAGGAATAGAAAAGCATTTTATATAATTACAAAACAAATTAGTACAGTTTTTAGAGTGAATTTAAGTTAACACTTATCATAAACTTTTAAATTTTAGGTCATTGAGTGTTGCAAGCTCCTACACTTACTTGCTGCTCAAAATAAGGTAAGTCTTTATTGGGTTTCTGGTCACACAGGAGTTCTGGAAATGAACAAATTTATGTGCTAGCCACAACTGCATTAAAAACTGTTTCTAAAAGGCCTCAATCCATTTGTAGGTTAAACTGGGCCAGTACAAAATAAATAAGCAAGGAGAGGGAGAATCGTTTGCGGCTGGTGTACTGGGAAGATTTCCTAGGACTTAAATAAAGCAAAGCACTAATTAAACAGTT